TATTCATTCAACTTTTATTTAGACCAGTTAATCCCATTGAGCCTCGAGGACTCGAGGGTATGTTTTTGGGTTCTGGGTTTTGGATTCTGTTTATTGCATTTATGGTTCAAAACAATAAAATAAACAAATTTAAAAGGTCACAGATCATTTTAATACAAAGTACTTGGTTTATTTACATAATGACTTTAACTGCTGGATGTCCGGCCCCTGTGCTGCTGGTTTCCAGTAACTGTGACCCCCTGAGCAGTTTTTAGAATAGCCCTGCATTAACTGGTAAAGATACATTAGTTGTTTCTTTTTATATCTTTTTAAAGAGTGATATCTCAAATCTTCTCACATTTCTTGAAAAGCCTTTATGTTTGACAACTTGTGTTTGCCTCTTATTATTTGCACACAATCTGAACACAGTCGTGACACAAGACAATATTTGATCTAATCTAAATCCCCCAAAAAATGTTTGATTAAAAGTAAAATTTACAATTTTTAATTCAGGTTCTGTCTGTTAAAGTTCATGAACAGGCTAACAGCTAATCCAGCACCAAAACAGATCGTTGACAGTTAAAATCAACTCCAATCTTATTAATTTCACAATATTTCATGTAAACATCATTTATACACTTTTACATTGCTGTCAAGTTTTAATTACATGATTTTTTTCAGGCAGGAATATTCTGAAACTCCTGCTGAAAGTACCCCAGGCTTAGAGCTACCGTTAGCTAAAAATGCTATTTACACTTGCAAATAACCACAAAACTCTTCGTAAATGACCATCTAATGTAAAACTAAAGGAGATGTAAAGGTTAATAAAATAACGATTGCAAAAACTTTGATGAAAATTTGGCAATTAAAGTTGTTCTCAGCTCTGCTCAGACTAGCTGTTAGCGCATCATTTCAGTCAAAATAAAACAGCATTTTTACTAAAGTCAGGTTGTTCCAAGAGCTGTCTACAACAGGTAAGATACTAACTGTTTAGTATCTAAACCGTCTATTGAATCAAAAAGTTTATTTAGGGGTTCCAGTTGACAGGAAGCTAAAATTACTGCTGCTATTTTTTAATCATTGAACCAAAATTATTTCAAGTTTTCTTGAGGTACATCTCTGGAATAATGCTCTGAGAGATACTACACTTTTATTTTAGGGATGCACGATACTGGATTTTTGGCTGATATCCGATACTAATACCAATATTTTTTCCCGTAGACCTACTGACAGAGACTACATATCTTTCTCTGCTGTGGAATTAAAATACATTATTCTGCATGGTCTTTGTCAGTTGGACCTGCTACCAAATGCAGATGCCAATAAGGGGCTGAAAATGATGTAACACTTCAACTTGGATTATGTTTAATGTCAAATTTATTCATGACATTTACTCTCTGCAACACGATGAAAACACTCAAACAGTGCAAATTTGTAAATTTTCACAAATCTAAACTCAACCTGTTCACAAGCGACAAGTGAAAAGCACATAAGTAGTAGTGCATTAATACATTTAGTTTCTTAAAGTAAAAATTAACTTGAAACAGGAGCCTTTTATATCGGTGAGTTATTCTGATGGAATGGCCAATATCCGATATTTAACTTTATCGTTAGTATCGGCCAATACCGATACCGTGCCGATAATATCGTGCATCCCTATTTTTTTTATTTACTTTTATTTTTAAGCTCAAGAGAGGTGTCGCCAGTGAAGGGAAAATATTCTCTTTGTAATTCATTGTTTCCAGTCCAAGTGTTCATTTTTATTTTCTATTTTCTTGCAGCTACCCATCACTCTAAACGCCAAGCGTCTAGGTTTCGTTCCCCCTTCAGTCCATCAATCATTAGATGAGAGAGGAAGAAGAGCAGCATCATGGTGTGACAGCGTCAACCCCAGGGTGCTTGATGCATCTTTCACTCAGCGTACTGTCAACGCCTCGGCCGTGTACTCCTGCAGCTGAACACGACGCCTTCGCTGTGAAAACCTGCTGTCATCCACGACTCATCTGTCAGCTCCTCTGATGCTGAGCCTTGGACTTCCTGTGTGTTCACAAATGCACAGCTCCACGTCTGCAGCCTGAAGATTTGGATTCATTTTAAAGAAGAAAAACAATGACAATGCTCATTTTCACATGTACAGTTGTAAAAAAAAACATATTTGATTATGCAGTTTATATTGCGTAACTGAGCCTTCAGTGGTGTTCTTTGAAGCAGTGCACCTCGTTCACCTTGTTTCATATTAAGAATGTCTTCAGTTGAGAAGCAGAGAGAGCTGGTTTGTTCAAACCATGTGAACATTATCCCAAAAAGTTCAATCTGGTCCTCTGGACATTCAAAAAAACAAAAACAAAACAAAGCAAAAAAATATAGAAACGTTTCGTCTCTCATCCAAGAGACTTCATCAGTCTGAGGTGCTGTTTTCAGCTGGGTTACACCTGGGTTAAAATTAAATCTCAGGAAGTCCAACAATTTACTGACCACATCAACTCTGGATAAATACATCAAGTTCACAAGAGAAGATGTAAAAAATGGCAGGTTGGCTTTCTTGGACTGTGAGGTCTCAGTCTCTGATAGAGGACATTTGCAAACCAAGGTGTACCGCAAACCCACCCACACAGACCAGTATTTGCAGTTTGACTCCCATCATCCTTTGGAGCACAAGTTAGGAGTCATCAGGACTCTGTATCACAGAGCAGACAGCATCCCCACTAACTCAGGAGCCAGGCAGAAGGAGAAATCCTACACAAAACAGGCTCTAGAGCAATGTGGATATCCTAACTGGGCCTTCCTGAAAGCAGAGAAGAAACCCAAACAGGACTCCAGTCAGCCAACAGGTGAAAAGGAGGAACCCAGACCCAGACCAGTGGTCATTCCATATGTTGAGGGAGTATCAAAGAAACTGAGACGTTTATTTTCTAAACATAACGTCCCAGTGGCTTTTAAACCCCAAAATACATTACGACAAAGACTGGTTCATCCCAAAGATCCAGTCCCCCGGCACAAACAGAGTAATGTTGTGTATGCTGTTCAGTGTCAGGAGGGCTGTGATCAATCTTACATCGGGGAAACTAAACAGCCACTGGCCAAAAGGATGGCCCAGCACAGAAGATCAACATCATCAGGCCAGGACTCTGCGGTCTACACTCATCTCCTGGCCAGCGGTCACTCTTTCAGGGATGAAGATGTTCACATCCTGGACAGAGAGGAACGATGGTTTGAGAGAGGAGTAAAGGAGGCCATCTTTGTGAAAAGAAATCGTCCATCATTAAACAGGGGTGGAGGACTACGTGTTCAACTGTCCCCCTCTTACAATGCTGTGATTGCTAGTATCACTCAGCCCTCTGTGAATAGTAAACAGCCATCAGTGTGCTAATGATCCATTGTTAGGCTGATGGTCCTTCTTGAGCATGTGATCAGCTGGTTTTGGTTGTCAGCAGCAAAACTGGTTGATCCACTCTGAGAAGGTGCTATTTAAGAGACTGAGCTGAATACAGCACCTCAGACTGAGGAAGTCTCTCGGATGAGAGACGAAACGTTTCTATATTTTTTTGCTTTGTTTTGTTTTTTGTTTTTTTGAATGTCCAGAGGACCAGACTGAACTTTTTTGGATTTTTCTTTCTGGATTATTGAGCATGCATCAGGACATGTGAACATTAGTCTCATGTAGGGTGTTGTGAAATGGATTAGCTCTTACAACATGTGGTAAAGATGACTCTCAACTACTACCACACCACATTTTAGCTCAATATTGGTAAAAATCAACCGAGTTAAAGCCCTTTCTGTGTCTCCAATGTCTGTGTCGGCCATATTAAGTTGGGTTCACTCTTAAAGTTAATCAGTTGTAGCTTTCTGAATGATGTATTATCCATCCAGTGGTTCATGAGTCTTTTGCTCACAGACAGTTGACTCCAGCGGTTAACAGCAACGTGTTGAAAGCAGATTTTAAACAATCAGTTCATGCTCTGTGCATAAATTGGGATTGATGTTCAACTACAATCACATCAAGTTTTAGCTCAATAACTGATCAATGATTGAGGTACAGACATTTTTGTGTTTTCTGCATCATGAAGGACCCCACTCACCCAGTACACACACTTTTTGCCCCACTCCCCTCAGGAAGGAGGTTGAGGAGCATTAAGTGCAGAACCTCTAGACTGAGGAACAGCTTCTACCCTGAGGCTGTTAGACTCATGAATCTCTAACCAGAATAATCACTGTGAAAAAAAATCACATCATGTTGCTGCTGATCAGTTTCATGTTGCTGCTGATCTATTTCATGTTGCTGCTGATCTGTTTCATGTTGCTGCTGGTCTATTTCATGTTGCTGCTGATCTTTTTCATGTTGCTGCTGGTCTGTTTCATGTTGCTGCTGATCTTTTCCATGTTGCTGCTGGTCTGTTTCATGTTGCTGCTGATCTATTTCATGTTGCTGCTGATCTGT